CCTAATAACTAAAAATGCTGCAGGTCCACAAGCTGTCAGGAGAATTACTTGTTGGCTTTCATCTGCCCAATGTCATTTGCCTGAAAAAAATAACACATTCTTTCCACATACTGGGCCTAGTCTTTGATGGCAGGATTGAACAAGTCAAGTTTCCTAAATGATGCCAGAAATGCTTACCCCAACTCAAAGACCATTGCAAGTGAATTTCTTCAGGAGCATGCTTTTCTTTCATTGCCACTGAAATAACTCCAATGAGGCCTGTTACGAATGCACTGTGCAACACATTGGCTCAGTCGTTAGCACTGCTGCCTCACAGTGCCAGTGGCCTGGGTTCAATTCCCGGGTGTCTGTGTGAAGTTTCCATGTTCTTCCCATGTCTGTGTGGGTTTCTCTGAGTGCTCTGATTTTCTCCCACAGTTCAAAGAGGTGCTGGTTAGGTGGATTGGCCATGCCAAATTGCCCATAGTGTCCAGCGATGTCGAGGCTATGTGGATTAGCCATGGGAAATGGAGGGTTACAGGGATAGGGGAGGGGGATGGGATGCCATTCGGAGGGTCTATTTGGACTCAATGAATGGCCAAATGGCCTACTTCCACACTGCAGGGATTCTACGATTTATTTACACATGACTGATCCAGCTTGCTCAGAACCAGCTCTGTGAACAGGATGCCTGACACTCCTGTTCTTATCTGTCAGCCAGGCTCCCTGATTGGACCAGATTAACAGCCCCAGTCAGGAAACTCATTGTATGAGGTCCACCTGGCTGACCTAATTACAATTACTACAGTGCACACAAAATTGCAGCACCTCACGGTGTAATGTTTTGTTTCATGTTGCTTCAGGTACATTTGCTAATTATTCTTTAAATCTGTGGCCTTTTTGTTACTGTCCTTTCTGCTGCTGAAAGCAGTTTCTCCTTATTTATCAAAACCTTCCATATTTTGAGTACATCTACCAATCTCAGTTTAACCTTCTCTACACTAAGTAGAATAATCTCAGTTAGTTTCTCCTGTTTCTCCATGAAAATGAAGTTCTCATCCCTGATAGCATTCTGGTAAATCCTTTCTGCATCTTGTCTCAGACTTAAACTGTAGTGCTCAAAATTTCCGAGTGGAAGCCCAAAGTTATCATAAACACTTCACACAGTATCCTTGTTTCTGTACTCTATGCTTCTATTGATAAAACAGAGAATCCCAAAAGCTTTTTAAATGGCCTTTTCAACTTTTCCTGCTCCTGAGGTGCAGGGTCGGAAATAATAGACCACTGACTCCGCTCCTGGAGCCGTGGGCCTCAGTTATTTCAATTTGTCAGTTCCTACTTCAAGGAGTGTTAACGGGCTGGAGATAAGACTTCCAGCGCTCAGTCAGGAGGAGGTCTCACTCGACAAGCTGTCAGCTAACTGAGTGACTGGCAGCTCTGTAGTCCCAGCATTAGTGGCCAACACCAGGACTATAAGCAGACCCAGATTCCAGATCCTGGATTTCAGGATTAGGTAAGTGCAGGTGCTGTCATAACAGGAGGGAACATGAGGCCTGGACAAGTGATAAGAAAGGGATGGGGATCTTAATGGAGAGGAAATATCCATCTGAATATAGACTTTGAGGGGGACATCTGATCTGGAAAGGAGATCATGGAGGGAAGTGCCCTTCTTCCTGTCTGAGGTCTAACTGGGTGACTTGCCAGATTTCCATGCTTGGCCCTGAACTCCTGCAAGCTGGACAGGGAACAGCCCTTAAACAGTCATGGCAAGGATGAGTGGGAGAGCCAGGCCTTTCCCATCCCACTGTGATATTGTTGGCAGGTTGGAGAAGTGGATGGATGGTTGGAGAGCTTTGGGACATTTTACACCCTCCCCCTACACCTGCAAACCCACTGGTGGGGGCTTACAAAATTCTGCACCTAAATTCTTCTTTGGTCTATTAATGAATGTCTTTTATATTTGTATTCTTGATCTGAACTCACCCATAAGTGAGTACCATTTCTCCACATCCACCATATCAACCCACTACGTAGTTTATAAATGACCTTTTTGTTGATGTAATCCTATTCATCTCCTTTCACCAGAAAACCTTTACCCCTGATCATTGTGTTATCGGCATTTAAGCCACTGGAATTCTCTATAATGTAGAATTTTGATATTCGTCTCAAGCAAATCATTGCTTCACCAACCTGAGAAGCTATTCAGATGTTATTCCAAACCCCAGTGATTTCCCAGGTCACCTTGATATGGCTTGGTGAGCTCCTGGTAGAGGCATTGATTTTCCTTCTTGTTCATCGTCATTGTAATTCTTAATTTTCCCAACACAACAGTAATAAACTCAATTGTCCCATTATGATGTCCAATAAACCAGAGAAAACCTGAGGAAAGAAGCACAAAAGAGTTTTTTGAACAATAACAAAGAAAATTGACGTCAGTACATGCATTGAAATGATGAAAATTGGAATGTTTTGTTGACATAATTTAATGTTGGCCCATCCATGATATACAACATCAGGGATCAAAAAGAACATTGCTGAGGTTTTTCTCTTGTCTGAATCAAATAAAGCTGTTAAAGAAAGCTGTAGTCAACATGTACCTACATACGAGGAGCTAGTCATGCTTTATATGAATGGTTTTCTCCAAAAAGTTCAGAGAACCCCTTTCTCTGGCAGTATGCTCATTGAAAAGGTAAAATTAATGGGGAAAAGAAAGTGACTAATGCACATATATTTTCTGTTTTATGATTTCATGTTTTAATTTTGTAATGACATTACGTTATCCTGTGCACAAAAAACTGACCATGAAGCTGCAGAAGAATACTGATAATTTTTTTTACTAACTAATCTTTGAACAAATCTATCCCTGGCCAAATTTATAACGCAGGCAAAATTGGCTCACATTGGCTCTGTTTACCAAATTGTAAGCTGGCAGATGCGAGTGAGTGAATCTGGTTCTATGGGCTTCAAAACAGAACAAACATAGATTGATAGTACTTATGGGTGATTGAAAAATTTAAGCACCCAAGTTCATTTAAGTGTATTGTAGTTCACAGTGAGCAGAATAATTCATGAATGGGCAAGGACATTTTTCAAGAGTGGTTTGATCGTGTTTTGCACTGTTGGTAAAAGAAGAATTTCGAAAAATACAATAGTGAAGCCAGTGAAGCTTTAAGGCAGCACGGTGGCTCAGTGGTTAGCACTGTTGCCTCACAGCGCCAGGGACCCAGGTTTGATTCCACCCTCGGGCAACTGTTTGTGTGGAGTTTGTGCATTCTCCCCGTGTCGCATGGGTTTCCTCCCACAGACCAAAGATGTGCAGATTCAGTGGATTGGCCATGCTACATTGATGAGGTTGTTGACTTGCTCGCCGAGCTGGCTTGTTTTTGTTCAGATGTTTCGTCACCATGCTAGGTGACATCAACTGTGGAGCCTCCGATGAAGCGATGTTATTCTATTCTGCTTGGAATTTATACTGTCCGGTCCATTATGGTGAGTACTGTTATTTCCGTTTTTTTTATCTGTTTGGGTTTATATATGGGGTACAATTCTCTATGTTTGTTGATTGAAGTATGGTTGGAGAACCATGCCTCTAGGAATTCCCGTGCATGTCTATGTTTGGCTTGGGCTACAAATATCGACATGCACGGGAATTCCGAGAGGCATGGTTCTCCACCTGTACTTCAATCAACAAACATATGGAATCGTACCCCATACATAAACCCACAAAGATCAAAACCGGAAATGACAGTACTCACTATAACGGACCAGACAGTATAAATTCCAATTGGAGTAGAATAACATCGCTTCATCAGAGACTCCACTGATGATGTTACCTAGCATGGTGACGAAACGTCTGAATAAAAATAAGCCAGCGAGGCGAGCAAGTCAACAAGTTCATCCACAACCTGAGCTACAGATCTTTGCCAATACTTTAAATGTTACATTGACTATAGTGTTCAGGAATGTACAGGCTAGGTGGATTAACCATGGGAAATGAGGGTTTACAGGGACAGGATGGGTGGGTCGGTCTGGGTGGGGATGCTCGTCAGAGGGTCGCCATGGACACGATGTGCTGAATGGCCTGCTTCCATGATGTAGGGATTCTATGACTCTATTCTATTGATAGACAATTGTTGACCTCACACTCCCAAACCAGGGTTAGTGAACAGTTAACATTTTCCTGCCTGCAAATGAAATCTCTTTGGTGTAACCTCTTGACCCAAGTGTCATCCAGACTTTGAAATGTGATTAAAGAAGAGATTTCGTGAGAACGTTAATCAATTATGAAGGCATTCTACAGAACTTTCAAGACCTCTAATAATAAAGGATGTAATCTTGAATGTGAAATAAGTGAAAAGTGAAACTTACAAGAGGGCTCAGAGAAAATTCAATGTTCCATTTGCAAAAGGCTCTTCTGATAAAGAAACTTTTGAAGGATTTAATCTAAGACCCTTCGTATTTTGACTTACTGTTGAAGATTAGAAGTAAACAGTTTTTACTTCCTGAGTAGCTGCATATTATTTTGTATTCTTTCTTTGAAAGTTCATGCGACAGATATTGCACTGTATTCCATCAATAAATGTGACTGTCTATTAACAAGCATGTTTGATGAACCAACATGACCCTTTCCTGCACATGCTGTATCATTCATATTTTACTGAGGTTGTATCCTCTCATTTCTCCCTACCTGGATTTCATCAAGTGAAGAACAGTACTGCACCACAGTACCCCAACTGTGTTTGAATTGAAGTTCCAAATAAACATTACAGTACCCTGGTATTTTTCTATTTTAGCAAAGAAATTCAGAAAATGTCACTATGGAACAGATGATCTGAATTTGGAGGTTTCAATTTAATGCCCCTAAGAAGGCACACCATTGGCAAAGCTGGACAGTAAAAAGATTTATGAAAAGAACGCAGTGATTTTTCACAGAATCATTAACTAATAATGAAAATGTGTACAAGGTCCTAAAAATTCACTATCTTTATAATAATTGTAACACTTGCTTCATCCATCTGTAGGACTGAGGAAGAAGAGATGCTGGTTGGGGCTTGCTACTGTGCAAAAATTGATGATCTCCTCCAGGAGTCAGATTTTGTCATGATAGTAGTAAACCTGACTCCTCAAACTACCAAAATGATTGGAGAAAGAGAGCTTAGACTAATGAAACCCAACGTCACTCTCATTAATATCTCTCGCGGTAAGGAAATATATATATATGTGATTGCTTGTTTAATAAAAATACCCATTGTTTGCAAAAATGTTTTCACAATTTATCTGTTATGACCAAGTACCTTATTTAAAAGGTTTCTGATTGTATAATTGTATTAAATCTTACATAAAATGACACATTTCTAACTCAGAAAATCATCAAACACTTAATTTTTTGGTCTGGTTGACAGGATTCCATGGTTTATATTCTTCATGAGTGCACTTATGGATTCCACTGATCAATGGTTTCAACCATTAGGTCTCTGGGGAGCAGTTATGTGATTATGTCAGCTAAAATTGCTGTACCTGTTTCCTTTCATAGAGGCTACCTTTCCTAATTAGTAAAGATCGAACATGACTGGACAAGACACTTCTTGTATATGAGAATATATTACAGGGCTTTCCATGTGCCAGTAAAATGCATTGGTCTTCTAACAGAGTGGACTACCCATTGTCAAGGAAAGGTCAACATTACAGCATACTATATAAAACGTATGAGTTTTCATTGACTGAACACCATGTATTTAGAAAAGGCAGTTCACAGAGGCATAATCAGACAAAGATAAGTATGATTCATGAAGGGAGTTTTAAGGTGGGAGCTTATAGGAGGATGTGGAACTAGAGGAACGTAAGAACCAAATTTCAACATTTGGACCAGATTCGCAATTGGACAGATTCTAAGGAACAACCATAAGTGGTGGGGAGGCTAAACAGAACAGCAGGATGTCACAAAGGTACAGAAGGACAAAAGCATTAAAGAATGAGTATCTGAAATTTTGGGGACCATGGGTCACTGTAAGAAAGCTTAGGTTGGGGAGATGTGTGAGCAGGATCTGTTTCAGAAGAGAAGAAAGCAAGTTGCCTTTGATGCATTGAAGCTGAGTGGAGAGCTGGAAGCCATTTAGAGAGCATTGGAATGTGTATGGAGGAACCTAAAGCCTGCATAAGAATTTCAGAAGAAGATGCATTGAGTAGAGGCAGAGGCAGGAGATGATACTTTGTCACATCATCCAGCAGGAGTTCATGGTCACACAAGGGGCTTCATGGATTGAGGTTTGTGCATAGAGCTGACGACATTACCTTCAGTCAGAGGGAACAATGTGTACATATGGCTATGTGTGCTGCTGGCAGCTTTGGCCCTCCCGGATGAAGATCCTTAATGTTTGAATACCTCTGTGCACAAAGTTTAACAGCCAAAAAGGTGTCCACTAGTGGCTGTGCCAGAGAGGTGATACCTTCAGAGGGAGTCAATTCTGTAGAATGTCTTGGAAGCATGCATCATACAGACCTTTGCACTAGACCTTTCAGGGGCCTGTAACTTTCATTGTTACCGTCTCTAAATGCCCTCTGAAGTGTGTGTGCTGCAGCCTGCTCTCTCACAAGTCAAGTCACTTAGCCTACCTACTCCAAGTGTTCTTGCAACAATTTTCATCCCATTGTACGTGTGCGATTTCCACATGGAAGGCTATAGAAAACACTCCTCCTCCAGTGTCTCCCTGCCTCAGCCTGACCGTGTCGGTGAGCCCTCAAATATTCACAGCCACTTCCCAGTGGTCTATATTCCATCAACCTAGAAGGATTCACACTTCCACAAGTCTGCATCCAACCCATCTGCATTCACCCACAGCTGTCACTCAGGCCCAGGCACATGAAGTGAACATGCCTGGTGTTGTCATTTCATGGTCCTACCTCTTCAGAGTATGACTGGCTTGTTCTAACCTAAACTGCGATTAAACCAAACTGCCTTTTCCAAGGAGAGAAATAATGGACACAAATCAAAAAAGAGCTCAGAAAATAGTGGTTACCTGAACTAATCATTTGCTTTTTTGCCCCACAGATGTAAGAGTTTTTTTGAGTTATTGAATTCTTTAAAATTTTAACATTACAGATGTGTATCAGATGTAATATGTTTCCCTGATTGACATTTATTTCAATTAAAATGAATAATATGGCCTTCATGATCGCAGTAAAACATTCTTGGGATAAATTCACACAAAAGTAATGTTGCTAAAACTGTATAACTTTATACTTTGCATGCATATTTAAAATCTGTGTTCCACATAGAGTAGAACATGCAGTCAAGTTGATAGAGTTGTTTGATATCCCAAGGTGGAGTGATTGATCAGGATGCTTTGGTGAAAGTGCTTCAGAATGGAATTATTCGTGCAGCAGCACTAGATGTCTCTAAACCAGAGCCCCTTCCGAGGTATGTTGTCACATTCATTTATTCAAATTATCAAAAGATTTCATTTGAAAAGTAGAAATCAATAACCTAGGTATGGAAACTCATTTGACATCGCAACTATCTCATGTGCTTTTTCTAAAAGGAATCATCCTTTGCTACACTTACCAAATGTCATTCTGACTCCCCACATTGGAGCTACCACTGATAAGACTCATCATATGATACTGGAGAAAATGATTGAAAATGCTTTGGCTGCTGTTCGTGGTCTTCCAATGCCTAATGAAGTTCTGCTGTCATGATGGGTATAAGCAGCAGAGATTTAGTAATTCTTTGATTCTAGTACATTGTAGTAATGATCACCTCGGCATCAGTTTATTCAAAACAAGAGTTTTAACAGCTATAGTGAAAAAATAAGGTTTCTATACCCTATGGTCACCCAAAATAATATTGGGATATTCCTTTTCCCTCCTTTCATATTAATTCATAAAATTCAAGCCAACTCTCACAGAGAAGCACAAGAGTCTTGATGCAGACATAACAAGATGAGAAATGAATTGACTTAACAAGTAAAACATTGTGATCCTAATTCTGCCCACCAATGCTTTATTCATCAGACCCAGACCAAGGACAATACTGAGGAGCACCTCTGTTCATTGAAATATCAGCACAGCCTGGTGATGAGTGTACAGCCCCTTGACATTCACGCCCTTACCACCTTCACCTTACCCCCCAGACATTCCTCATCTCCTCACAGCCCTGAACCCAGTCATCCAGTATCCATGATAAAAATGACTCTCAGCCTCTGTAATAACATTGGGAAATCCTTGGGAAAGTGATAAATCAGATAAAATAAAAAAAAACTTGAATGTCTCTTGAAAACCATGATCTCTGAACAAATCAAGATTTGTAAATGTAAGAAAGCTCATATTCTCTTTGACAATTGTGTGAACTACCCCTGCTCAGCAGAATCAAATAGTTGATTTGAAAGTCAGCCAACTGTTCATAGCGAGATTCCATTGAAGAACTGGGTCTACAAACTTTCCTAGGCTGAATTCAGTAAAGTCTTTGAACATAATCAGAGGCCCAACCATCTGTCAAAGCTTTAAAACCAAGAAAATGGATCAATTAAACTTCAAGGAAACAATCAAAGCTATGGGCACATTTCTCACTGCCAGGCCAGAATTTCACAGTGGTATATATGAAGGTAAGAAGTTGGAGCAAGAGTATGCCTCTCAAACCTGCTCCACCATTCATTACATTGTGGTGGATCTGATTGTGGCCCCAATTCACATTCCTACCTACCCGGATAACATTTGACTGCCTTGGTGGTCAAGGGAGTACAACAGTTCTATAACCCAGATTAGCACATTATCCAAGGATGATGTACTCCAATACTTCTGAAGACTTTTTCCATTTTCACGATAATGTTAATTCCTTCATCAGCTTGCCAGATGTCAGAGGTTAACAAGCTGGCAACCACAGTGTTTAATGATCACTCTCCTTTCTGACACAAACTGCATTACCACTCACTGTATTAGAAATGGGCATAACCAATGATATGTATGGATATGAATTAGACAACATCTTTTATTTGACCTTTCGTACAGTTCCCACCTTCAAACTGTGGTTTCCTGTAATTTGCAATATCTCTCCATATGATTTACACTGCCTTCCAAAACTGGCCCAATTCCATCAAAGTTTTGGAAGGTTTGCAATTGTGATGACAAATTCAGGGCAATAGAGAGAGGGCTCCATACCTATGCCCTTAACCTGCACCACTGAAAATTCGTACTGTTGGGAATCCCAGATTCAGGTCCTGCACACCGTTTTTGAAACCTCCTCAATGCACTTCAGCCACACATCAGGGCTGGAAAATCCAGCGTACTGTGCTGCATGATCTATGGTGAGATAGTCGTCAGAACTGGCCAATGGTATCCTATTTCGAATTATATGACACTGACTAAATTCATAAACATGAAAAGAAAGTTCCCACACTCCAGAGATTCACAATGGCGAATAGCCAGTACTTTACAGTGTAAGAAAATTGATTTTAACTGCTTCAGCAAGATTTTGTCCCATTATCCAATTTTATCCAGAGATCATACATGCAGATCAGCACATCAACTGTGTAAGTTATAGTCTTTTTAGTTGATAACCTCCTGTCTTAAGAAAGTTAATTAAACCTGATACAAAATAGGTTTTACTGAATAGATTAAATTATATAGATTATGAATGAACTGTAAAGGCTGCAGTGTGGATGTTTAATTTTTGATATCATTGTAATTGGATTAGAATATAATTATAGATTTTTGTTAATGTTACGGTATGCAAAATTAAACTAATTAAAATGCTTCATGTAAAAATCAGAACAAAAACATTGTCCATTTATGTAGTATATGATGTAAAGACTCGCTAAACCAGATCTTACTTTGGGTAGAACTAGCTTTAAGATTCTTGCAAAGATTTGTAGCTCGAGTTGTGGATGAGATTGTTGGCTTGCTCGCCGAGCTGGCTGGTTATCGTACAGATGTTTTGTCACCATGCTAGATAACATCATCAATGAGGCCTCCGATGAAGTGATGTTGTTCTACTCCACTTATTATTTATATGATCTGGTCTGATAAGTTGGGTTGTGTCATTTCCAGTTCTATTCTGCATGGGTTTGTACCTGGGGTCTAATTTCACATGTTTGTTGATTGCATTACGGGTTGAAAACCAGGCCTCTGGGAATTCCTGTGTGTGTCTGTGGTTGGCTTAATCTAGGTTGGTCACATTGTCCCAGTTAAATTGATGGCCTTCATTGTCCGTGTGCATGGAGATGAGGGAAAGTTCGTCGTGTCGTTTTGCTGCTGGCTGGTGTTCATGTATCCTGATGGCTAGTTTCCTTCCGGTCTGGCCAATGTAATGCTTGTTGCAGTCATTGTAAGGAATTTTGCAAACTGTGCTGGTTTTGCATGTCATGGGTATGGGGTCTTTGGTCCTTGCGAATGTTTGTCATAGTGTGACTGTCGGTTTGTGTGCTATCATGATTCCTAGTGGTCGTAGGAGTCTCATTGTCAGTTCTGATATGTTCTTGATATAGGATGGTCTGGCCAGTGTCTTGGGGTATACTGTGTCCTCTTGACGTTGTCTATCTAGCAGGCACCCGCGGATGAAGTTGTTGGGATATCCATTGTTAGCAAAGAACTTGTGTAGGTGCTCTTCTTCCTTCTTGCATTGTTCTGGCATGTTGCAGTGAGTTGTGGCCAGTTTGAATAGTATCCTAACACAATAAGATTCCTACAACCACTAGGAATCATGGTAGCACACAAACCCACAGCCACACTTTGACAAACACTCACAAGGACCAAAGACCCCAGACCCAATACATGCAGGACCAACAGGTTTGCAAAATACCTTGCAATGACTGCAATAAACATTACATCAGCCAGACCAGAAGGAAACCAGCCATCAGGATACACCAGCTATCAGCAAAGTGATACGACCAACTTTCCCTCCTCTCAGTGCACTCAGACAATGAAGGCCATCAATTTAATTGGGACAACGTGACCATCCTAGCTCAAGCCAACCACAGACACACACGGGAATTCCTGGAGGCCTGGTTTTCAACTTTCTTTGTCTCCAGTTCCCTGGCACCAAATCAGGATGCCCCTTTTACCATGACCCCCATGCCACCCCACTTACAAAAGTTTAGGATGATCCCTGATGAAAGCCTTGGAACATTCTAGGCAGCAGCCATCTCTTGGGGTTGGGGAATTGGGTGGTCATGGGGAGCATTGTTAATGGAGAGCTGTCAGCTTCTGATTAACTGACAATCCTGAGGGAGTGGGATTTACACCTAAACTACGCTAAATTATGTGGTAAGCCTAAGGCTGAGCAGTTATGTATTGGGCCTTCCCAATGGAAGTAACAGAAGTTTCCTACCAATTCTCCAAGCAATGGAGGAGAACTCTACTGGCAAAACAAAATCCCTGGCTATGTTGCTGTACCTAAAATTAATCACTGGAAAAACAAGCAAGTTATGAGCTCTGAGAAATACTCTGTACCAATCCATGAGGTGGTTGGCTATCCATGCCTGTTTGCAAAGTGGCCTGACAGCATCATTGCAACCTAAAGTATCAGTAAGATCTAAACGCAATACTGAAGGCGTTGAACCTTATAAGCGAGTCTGAGATGTGCAATTATGATGTGGTGAGGCTGATGCTTTGTCAATACCAACCTCTGGGAGTGAAGGATAATGGTCACTGCCTATTGAGCATGAGGGACGAGTAACATTTATCCATTACAATTTCTTTCATCCTTGGGATGTCTGAAGAAGATGTTAATATGCTAACTGGGTGCAACTTTACCAGCTACAAAGAGACTTGAGCACATATTCCAAAAGTATCAATATCATAAATTTACAAATGTGCAGGATTACTCACATTAAAGTGTCACTCATGCTATCTACGTGCCCTGACAAAATGCTTTTCAACCTATACCTTGCATCACATCTAGATGCAATCTCCAGAACCCACAGCTGAGGTAGAGAATTGGTCTGCAGTTGGTCTTGTTGGCCTGGAAGATTTAGCTGTTTGTTCCCATTAGCGTTTGTGTCTAGAGGATGCAGGTTCACTCTCCTTGGCTTGGACTACCACATACTTTGACATCAAAGATACAGGGGAGATGGAGGGCCAGGCACCTTTGGAGTATCCTGGCAGGAAGCTTCTGGGGGCCTGTATGTAGCTCCTCCTTCACCGAGATGCATACTAGTATCAAGCCTTCTCCCTGAGATGAATGGCACCTGAGTGAGGTCAAATTTGCACAGTCTAAATCATTTCTTTGTTAATAATCTAGCCAATTTTTCCAAAGATTTTTGAAAAAATTATTTGCAAAACTGTTTATTATTTGTTGAAACAAAGCCTGGCTGAACTGTTTCTCATATTAAATCTATTAGTTTAAAACCATATTAAATCCTCAGATTTCTTGCACTAATTTGGCTAATTTGGAGTTCCCAATTTGGAACTCTGTATCCTAACAGTTATCGTTCTGTAGGATTTGCTAATCTTCCAGTGAGAATGGTTGACAACTTCACTACAGCTGGAAATTTGGGTTAATCAAATTTGATCCATTGTGATTTCATTGCATTTATACATATTGCATACTTTCCTGAAAATGGTAACTGTTTGACTGGCTTGCAAGGCCACTTCTGAAGTTATAACGAGTTAATAAAATTCAATTTTATGGAGTGTTTGGGGGCAAAAAAGTAATTTAGAAGGCAGGATGGGATCATGCCTGAATCACACAGCCTTCCAATTTCTGCCTGAATTAAATCGGGGAGAGGTCTGAATTCTCCACGACTGATTGAGGCCCTTAGTAGGGCAACTGATTACTTGCCACCACTGGTATTAACCAGGGGTAGGAGGGCCTCTAGACACGCAGCAAACGTGGAGAGGATATCCTCGTAGTCGGCGTCACAGTGAAACGTTACAGGAAAAAATGTCCTCGCTGTCAACATCACCTTTAAAGCAGTCTAGGAAGAGTGTCCTCACAGTTGGTGTCATAATGAAACAGTCTGGGAACAGTGTCCATGTACAGTGAAACATCCTGGGAAGGGTGTCCTCACAGTCAATATTGCCTTGAATCAGTCTGGGAACGGTGTCTTTGCAGTCAATGTTACGGTGTATGAGTTTGGGATGGGTTTTCTGCTTATTGGGGAAAAGAAGTGACATCACTGGAAAAGCGGAAAGATCTTACACTACTGCAGGAATAGGGGATCCAAGGGAGAGAGCTGATTGGCAAGGAGTAAGTGATGTTTGTCAATATTTACAACTTTCATCGTTTATAGTTTGTAAGGTCTTTTTGTGGTTT